AACAAACCCACACACACACTCTCTCACACACACACACACACACTCAAACACACACACACTCTCTCACACACACACACACTCTCACACACACACACACTCTCACACACACACACACTCTCACACACACACACACTCTCACACACACACACACTCTCACACACACACACACTCTCACACACACACACACTCTCACACACACACACACTCTCACACACACACACACTCTCACACACACACACACTCTCACACACACACACACTCTCACACACACACACACTCTCACACACACACACACTCTCACACACACACACACTCTCACACACACACACACTCTCACACACACACACACTCTCACACACACACACACTCACACACACACACACACACACTCAAACACACACACACTCTCTCACACACACACACACACTCAAACACATACTTAAACCCACACACACAAACAAACCCACACACACACGCACGCACACTCAAGTTATTTTAAGTGGTCTAATAAATGTTAAAATTGATAGCTCTTGTAATGTTGCATGGCTGTCGTCAGTGGTTAAATATTAGAGGGAAAAATAATTTCCCAGAGACATCAGTTGTATTGGTATAAAAAAAGATGCCATTATACAAATATTAAAAATATACTGTCTTTATGTTGTTTCTACATTAAAGATCGAATGTGAAATTATTGCAATGCAAAAGTATTTTTAAAAACTTTAATGTTAGGTGGGATTAATCGTGATTAATAAAAAAAAAGTGTGATTAATTAGTAATTTTTTTTGATTGACAGCACTAATTTTAATATTACTAATACATGGTAATATAGTAATATTAATAATATATAATAGCAACAGTTTTTAATGAAATGAGTATGCTTAATATATTAAAGTTATATGAATATAATTTGTATTATTAATATGGTAATATTGATTGGGAGTATATTAAATATATATTACAATAATAATAAGATTTTAATATTAATAATGTAATAGCAACAGTTTTCTGGTTGGATAAATTCATTAATAAAATTAATTTAATACTATATTAATGTTAATATATAATAGCAGCGATTTTTCTGGTGGGATAAGTATGTAATATATTAAAGTAATTAATTATTAATATTAGTAATAATTAGTAATTCATATATTAATAATATATAGTAGCAACAGTTTTTAATGAAATGAATATGCTTAATATATTAAAGTTATATTAATATAATTTGTATTATTAATATGGTAATATTGATTGGGAGTATATTAAATATATATAATAATAATAATAATATTTTAATATTAATAATTTAATAGCAACAGTTTTCTGGTTGGATAAATGTATTTTAATATGCTTATATATTACAATTAATTTAATAATATATTAGTGTTCATATGCAATATCAGCGATTCTTCTGGTGGGATAAGTATGTAATATATTAAAGTAATATTAATATATAGTAGCAACAGTTTTCTGGTGAAATGAGTATTTTTAATTCTAATTATATGAATGTAATATACTGTAATTTATGCAATGATGTGATCAGTGAATGATGGCAGATTGTGAAGTGTTGTCTGTGAGGAGGTGAAGAAGTCTTTCCTTTGACCCTGACTGAGTTCAGCGATTGATTCGTCCTTTAACCGAGCTCTTATCGTCGGTCCAGACGCGCTGCATCGAGCTGCTGATGCTCTGCCTTCAGTCCGAGTCAAACCAGACTCCGAGCATCAGACCAGCTCATGCAAAGGGCAGCAGGGTTATTTTGTGTCAGACACGTTCATGCGTGTGGCTGTGTGTGATTCCAGCATTTATATGCATTTACAGCTTTTGTCAAAGTAGCTGCTGGAAACCATTGCAACAATTTCCCACTAGGATAAGTATATTTCATATACTAAGTAAATAACTAAATTAATATAATAATATATTAATATTAACCATGCATAATAGCAACAATGTTTCACTGGGATAAGTATATTTAGTATATTAAATGAATATTCATATATTAACATAATAAACATATATATAATAGCAACCGTTTTCTGGTGACATGAGTGCATTTAACATATTAAAGTTGGATTAATTTAAAACATTATTATTTATTTAGTCATTTAGCAGACGCTTTTATATAATAATGCATTCATATTAATTATACAGTATATAATAGCAACAGTTTTTCAGAGGAATTTGTATATTAAAGTAATATTAATATCAGTATAATAGAAGCGGTTGGATGAGTATCATGGAACTTAAATATTAATTTATTCATGCGCTATAATGAAGGGGAGCACGGGGCACAACACTCAATTTGTGTAAATCCTCAGGGGGTACAGAGTATATATACTGTATATTTTTATCCACAGTAGTTTCACTTGTTGTCTAGTACAAATATGTCGCTTTGTTTCATAATTACAATGTATATGTTTTTCTTTATTTACCCTCAAACAATGGAAGAGAGCTGTGACAACATGCCCCATAGGTGGGGTACATTTAGTACCTTAAGACTAACATATTGATACACCCAAAAAACTTTAATTTTGATTTCATGGGGACTTTAAGGACTGAATTAACTGCATGTATATGGTTAGGGTTAGGATGAGGGTTTGGTTTAGGGTTACTTGCATGTAATTATGCATAGTTTATTGTTATTATAATACGTAAATACACGTAACGTGTAACAAGGACACCTTAAAATAAGGTATTATCTTATTTTGTAATTAAATGGCGTCACAGTCTTGTGAAAAGGGTCCATTGTGTGTTGTTTAGGGCAGTTTTCTCGGCAGTGTGAGATTTAAGGTCACTGCATTTGTGCATTTGTGCATTTCTGTTTGGAAGGGTATTTGATTTATTGCAGGCTTTTAAGGCTAGTCAGCACTTTATTAAAGCAGTGATTTAGATATGATCGCATTAGCTTATGCGTTACTCGCACTGATTTAATCTAGTAGCACAAAAGTGACTCAAATGATCTCATTGTTACAGAAACACAAAGTGGTTTTCATGGTTGTTTTTGTAAACTTTGTTTTAATTACATTTCAAATGGCTCACGGAGGTTCGGCTGTCTGGAGATCTCCGTGCTTTCCGTCTGTCGACCGAACCATTTGATAAGTGCTTTGGTGGGTTTTATCTTGATGCTTTCTTTGAGAGCAGCTGCTGGTTTAAAGTGCCTTTATTTATTACCATTTAAATCACTTAATTGGATCACTGGCCAATTGTTAATTATACTGAAAAGCACCTGGTTTAGCTTTTAAAGGTCAGTTTAAACATTGCAGAGCCGTCAAAGATGAATTTATGATACAATCTCTTAAGTGAAAGCAGATTTTATGCTTTAACTGCGCAAATTTCATTTTGTTATATGACTAATTCCAATTTATATTAACATTCCTGAACCAAAACATATGTCTTCTGTTGTCTGATACGTATGGCTTTTGTTTGTTTGTTTGTTTGTTTGTTTTGGTCTATTGCTTGGCTGATTTTTTTTCATTAATTATACTAAATTCAATTAAATTGACAGTCAATAAAAATTCAAAAAAAAAAATTCAAAATAAATACATTCTAAATTAATTCATTTTTAAATACATAAAAAGCAAATAAGAATATAAATGAATGAATACATACATTTATAAATAAATTGTCTTTATTAATAAATATATTTTTTTAAATGAATGAATGAATAAATAAATATAAACAAACAAAATATAAATAACGCATTCTAAGGGTCATTTCTGTCTGTGAGATTTTTTAATTGTTGGTCTAATGCTTGGCAGATTCTTCCCCTTAAATATAGATGGATGGATGGATACATAGATAGATGGATGGATGGATGGATGGATGGATGGATTGACCAAAGCTGTATTTTCAGCATCATTACTCCAGTCTTCAGTGTCACATGATTCTTCAGAAATCATACACTTAATTTAAGAATAAAACACATTTGAAATTTTGTCAGTCAATAATTAAAACATGAGATAAAAATACTGTTAATCAGCCCATTGTGAGACATTTAACAATGAATGTCTATAATGCGGACAATGAAAAATCTGTTCTCATAATTTTACCTTCTTTAAAACTGGTTTAAACCGTGCGCAGTTGTTATTTTGTAATGTTTGTGTTTCTATGACCAATCATTTTACAGATCAGGATCACAGAAGAAGCCAATCAGATTTCATCTGGCTCCTGATGCCCCGCCCCTAACCCCGCCTCCTCTGTGATCTTCATTTCTGTTTCTCTTTGTAATGTTTGACAGGTCTTGACAGGCCCATCTTGAGTCGCTGTGAACTCTGAACATCTTTCCCAACAGCTAGTTTAAATATGTAGTGCTTTCTCAACGTAACGTGCTGTTTTAGTGAAGTCGGGCCCTCAGAAGTGTCATTAAAATGCTGCGGGATGCTCACTAATGAGATGCTCTCCGCAGAGTCTGCTGTTTGTTAGTTTGGGTTAATCCGCTCGTTTGCTCCATTAATCACCTTCCTCGTGTGGGACGTTCTGGAAGAGGAAAGGATATGTAAAGCTACACATTAGTGTCGTGTGCTGCCACCTTTAGGTCAGGATGAATGGATTCTCCGGTAGATGTTCTGCTGGTGAAATATTAGGTGTGACTGGTGAAGTTTGTCAGGAGTTTAACTCTCTACAAAGCCCGTAAAGTCAGTGCAGACACGAGGGAAACATCTAGATGACAAACAGGCTTTAATTTGAGAAGCTTTACAGCAGTAATTGACCGACCCCGTGACCCATAACATGAAGCCAGGTCTCTTAGGAATTTCTCCTGTTTATTATGAGTTAAAGGAACACTAATAAAGCAGATCATATTAACTCCCTTATTATGTTGAAATCTGGGTACTACTATTGTCTTGGGGTCAAATTGAACCCCATTGGTTTCAATGCAATTCACACAAAATCGGCACTATATATATATATATATAAATCCAAGACTTGTCATTTGCACTTATATATTGTTGCTATTTTGTTAGTTTTGATTGCTTTATGTTATATATATATATATATATATAACATAAAGAAACAGAAGACCTCTATTTTAGCTTGTCAAAAAAATATGAAGTATGATCAAATATGAACTCCTGTTGTGTTAAAAAAAAAAAAGTTACACTCTTCATGTTAAGGGTCAGTTTGAACATAAATAAATAATATTTAAATAAATTAATGTATGAATAATATTTTTGTTTATAAATTAATACATGTGTTAAAAACAGTTACACCATTTCATGTTAATTGAATAAATAAATAAATAAAATTGTCAGCCACAATAAATAAATAAATGTGTTAAAAATAGTTACATCTTTCATGTTAAAATTAAGTTTGAAATAAATAATAAATAAACAAACAAACAAATAAATAAATAAATAAATAAATAAATGTTGTGTTAAAGATAGTTACACCCCTCATGTTAAAATTAAGTTTGAAATAAATAAACAAATAAATAAATAAATAAATAAATGTTGTGTTAAAGATAGTTACACCCCTCATGTTAAAATTAAGTTTTAAATAAATAAATAAATAAATTTGACAGCCATAATAAATACATAATATATATAAAAAATGTGTAAATAAATTTACAAATATATACACCCTTCAAGTTTAGGGTCAATTTGACCCACATATTTTTGTTGAAAAGTAGCTGCGCAGACATAACATAAAGACATTTCCTCCATGTTTTTTTTTTTGTTTGTTTTTTTGTGACTGCTTGTAGTGACAGTCTGCACACTGCACGTGACTACAACTAAATATAAATAGTATCTAACATTAATAGTACTTGGCGTAAATATTATTTATTGCTATTTGTATGTAGTGTAAATAGCCACTGCCTTTTTCTTATGTCTGTTTTCAAAACCCTGTGAGGATAAAATGGGTTTCTCGTGCTTATATTCAGTGCAGAAACAGACGAGTAATTCAGATCCAAAAAAACCAAACAAACAAAACCAGTTTTTGACTGAGAAACTCAAATAGCAGAAGAAACAGCGAATTCTACCTGGATGATTAAGAAGATGAGTTTTCATACATTTCATTCAGTTTCATTCTTTGACAAGCTACGATAAAGGTTTTTAGGTTTTTTTTACCTGGCTCTTTTGCTGTTTTTCAAAGTGTTGATTTGAGGTGAGTTGTATAGAAACCAGTGGAGGTCGATTTGAACACCATCGATGTAACCAAGTTTGTACAGCCTTTCCCAAACACATCTGTGTGTTGAAACTTCGCATGCACATTCATGACCAAAAATGAGAAAAATACACCAAATTTCAAGAAGAAATATATAGTTTAAATTAGGCATCCAAATGTCTAAAACACTATATGCATGACACAAGCATTATGCATTTGTTTGCATTATGATCAATCGACTGATGGCTCTTTTAAGGCCTTAAACTCTTATGAAAGATGGCATGCAAACTCTTCAAGCTCTGGAAAACTGAAAAGTTTAAAGGCGCTGAACAGAAGTGTTTCTGGAGTCACACACCATTAGAGCCGGAGAGAAGCCATTTATCAGCAGTAATGACCGTCACACTTGAGCCTTAAATATTTCACATTAACCACATTTAATCAATCCAGGAGCCCAGAGAACTGTGATTTATAACCAGATGAGTGATTTGAAATGCATATTAAGGGTATTTTTGTTCTTGAAAAGCTCCTGAAACATTCAGTTGTTGCTTCTGGCTTTACAAACAGGAGAGAAGAAGCGTCCGATCTTCCAAGAAAGATGGATTATGAAAGGTCAGAATGTCTTGTGACATTTTTCCTGCGTGTTTCTGACGGTCTGCAGATGTCTAGTGTTTGACTCCGTCCTCCTTCAGATTCCTGTCACTCCCTTCAGACACGGGAAACACAGGGACACAATTTCAGGAAGTTTGTTTTGGCCTCAGAGGAAAGTCAGGAGTCACAATCTGATTCCGCGTCATGTATTTTTAGTGCACTTGGTCTGAGACAGTCGGTCAGAGTTGAACGCGTTGAGCTTTGTATAGAAGACCAGTTCCACCACAACATTTAACAAAATAATTGCAACTTTTTATCTGATTTTTTTCTCCCCGCAGTTTTGAGAAAAAAAAGGAAAAAGGAGAATTGTCATATAAAAGACAAGGTTGCAATTACCTTTTTAAATTTGTATTCTGTAGTGGAAACAAAACACAGAACTGTGAAATATAAACTCAGAATTTTAAGGGAAAAAAGTCAGAATTGCAAGATTTAAACTGACTCAGAGTTGCGAGATATAAAATCAGAATTGTGAGATATAAACTCGTAATTGCAGGTAAAAAGTCACATTTGCCTTGTTTTATTTTTTATTCCGAAACAAAGTCAGAATATGAACTTAGAATTGCGAGGAAACCGTGGAAATTAGATTTTTTATTTATTTAATATTTGTGCCAAAAACAGGTTTCCGTAGGTTTGATGTGTTTCTGTATGTTTGGAAGTGTGGATTCCATAACTGGCTAGTTATAGATCAAATATCTCTCTCCTTCTTAACAGTTTTTTCATCTGTTTTACAAATACTACTAATGAATTCATTAAAATACATTTTAAAAAATTTGGGGTTGGTAAGATTTTTTTTATTTAATATTTTTGCTACTGCTCACCAGGGCTGCATTTATTTGATCAAAAATACAATAAAATTGTGAAATATTGTTACAATTTAAAATATCTGTTTTCTGTGTGAATCTCTGTTAAACTGTAATGTATTTCTGTGATGCGCAGCTGTATTTTCAGCATCATTACTCCAGTCTTCAGTGTCACATGATCTTCAGAAATCAGTATAATATGCTGATCTGCTGCTCGAGAAACATTATTATTATCAATGTTGAAAACAGTTGTGCAGCCCAATATTTTTGTGAAAACCGTGATGCATTTTATTTTTCAGGATTCACAGATGAATAGAAAGTTCAAAAGAACAGCATTTGTTTGAAATAGAAACCTCTCTTCTCTTTCTCTGTCTGTCTTCAGGGATCTCGGCAGTAATCTCATTAGCAGAATTGCCCCCGGCGCGTTTCACGGCCTGACGGCTCTGAGGAGACTGTAAGTATGATTATGACCTTGGAAATGTGCGTGAAAACCCAATCAGATGCTGCAATGCCTCTAGAAATGTTTCTACAGCTAAATTAAAATTCAGAACATTTCAACACATGTTGTACGGTCTTCAGACTACAGAGCGTGAACACAAATACAAACGGGAACTTTTGAAAGCAGCTGCCTATCAGCGGGTATCGAATTGAGTCGAAATAGTCTTCTGTTCGTAGTTCGTCTGCAACATCTCCACATCTTACAAGATCAGATATTTGTCAGTGAGCTCAGGATCTGCTGAGCAGCAAATCCTCCAGCATTGTCTCTCCACCAGTGATCAGTCAAATCGGACTCCTGCAGCCGGGTCCCCACACTTTTTTTTTGACCCACCACCAATATTTCCACTCGTGTTTTCTGATTTGTTACTTAGAACTAACATTCAGCCAATCACAAGGCGAATCATCTCTTGGGCACGTCTGCCATAAGCTTAAAATCTCCTGCTGCCCTCGCGATTTCTTTCTTTCATTCATTCACGTCTTTGCTCTTTGGCGGTCTGGAGTAAAATGCACCTCAGAAAAATTTTTCAGATTACGTTCGTTTTTCAAACGCACAATTTAAGTATGTGTTATGTGGCGATGTTTCTACAGCTAAATTAAAATTCGGAACATTTCAACACATGTTGTACGGTCTTCAGACTACAGAGCGTGAACACAAATACAAACGGGAACTTTTGAAAGCAGCTGCCTATCAGCGGGTATCGAATTGAGTCGAAATAGTCTTCTGTTCGTAGTTCGTAGTTCGTCTGCAACATCTCCACATCTTACAAGATCAGATATTTGTCAGTGAGCTCAGGATCTGCTGAGCAGCAAATCCTCCAGCATTGTCTCTCCACCAGTGATCAGTCAAATCGGACTCCTGCAGCCGGGTCCCCACACTTTTTTTTTGACCCACCACCAATATTTCCACTCGTGTTTTCTGATTTGTTACTTAGAACTAACATTCAGCCAATCACAAGGCGAATCATCTCTTGGGCACGTCTGCCATAAGCTTAAAATCTCCTGCTGCCCTCGCGATTTCTTTCTTTCATTCACGTCTTTGCTCTTTGGCGGTCTGGAGTAAAATGCACCTCAGAAAAATTTTTCAGATTACGTTCGTTTTTCAAACGCACAATTTAAGTATGTGTTATGACACGAATCATGCGATTGAGTTTCCGCTGTACTTACTGTAACGAGCGTTCACGTCTTTGCTCTTTGGCGGTCTGGAGTAAAATGCACCTCAGAAAAATTTTTCAGATTACGTTCGTTTTTCAAACGCACAATTTAAGTATGTGTTATGTGGCGATGACACGAATCATGCGATTGAGTTTCCGCTGTACTTACTGTAACGAGCGATGTGACGCAACAAAAGACAATAGAACCCGTTAAGAACCTCGTCACGTCGCGCCGGATCCAGTGTGTGTTAAATGCTCTCCTACTTGTCGCTTTGGATAAAAGCGTCTGCTAAATGAGACATAACCGATTATTGGGTTCTGCTGTCTGTTGTCGCATCGTGCTGCTCGCGTACGGAGTAGATTTCAGATTACGTTCGTTTTTCAAACGCACAATTTAAGTATGTGTTATGTGGCGATGACACGAATCATGCGATTGAGTTTCCGCTGTACTTACTGTAACGAGCGATGTGACGCAACAAAAGACAATAGAACCCGTTAAGAACCTCGTCACGTCGCGCCGGATCCAGTGTGTGTTAAATGCTCTCCTACTTGAGAGATTAAAGCGTCTGCTAAATGAGACATAACTGATTATTGTGTTCTGCTGTCTTTTGTCGCGTCGTGCTGCTCGCGTCCGGAGTAGAATTATCCTTTCCCAATAAAGCATCCTATTGTTTAAATGTGATCATTAAACTTTGAACGGCTATGATTGAATTAAGCGTGAGCACGGCACGCTTCAAAATAGAAACGCAGTTAGCAATCACCAAATAGCTCACATTTATGACAGCTTGCCAAGTGTTGTTCCAATCTACTGATGATGAATAATTCATATTTTATGTAATTTATGGTGTTGAAATCATACCTGTAAAATCACATTTCGGCCAGGAAAGTTTTGATGGCATTTTCTTTTAATATTACCTCCGTATAATGCCTGTAATAACATAATGTTTACTTTATGCAACTGTTCCACAAGCACCACCTGCTGGCAAAGAACGAATTGGCATATTCACTTATATTCACATTTCACGCAGAACAGTGTTGTGAATGTTAACTGGCATATCAACAAGGAAAACTAAATTAAATTTGACATAATTGTCAGGAAGCTTAAAAAAAAAGTTAAGCAGAGCCCAGGGGCCTCTGGTTATCTTAAGGTGCCCCTGATGGTAGGAAACCTTTGAGCTGTTTTTATGATCAATGTGCATAACAGTGACTGTGAAATATGTATTTTAGGTGTGGAATTATGAAATTTGGGATATGGTCATTGCTGTACTCACGCAGACCTGGCAACCCTGGCTGTATTAAGCAGAGCAGACGCTTAAAACTGAACTTAAATGATTTTTATTTCTATAAAAAAGCAAAACGACACGGTACCGTAAACCAACTCTTTACGGTAATTTAGGACTTTTTAAACTGTGTTTACGAGGTCATTCGGCAAAAATGGACATTTTGACTTTTTTTTTATTTTTTTGTAGTAGGCCTAAATTTAACAGCAGAACCAGAAATGTAGCTATCACCAGATCCGAAAGCACCACCGAATAGCGAATTGAAAAAAAGTGTTTTTAATCGTTCAGTGTTTTTAAACTTCTACATCTAGAATATTAGCTCACATCTTTAAGCAGCACTCTTGAGAATGAGAGCTGCAGCCGATCTGAGGTTCATTCTGCAGGGAAGAGGCTTTCAGCATTTCGACATACAGACGCAGGAGCCATGCAGACCTTTAATGTGACACTGATTGCTGGATTTGAGCGGCTGATTGTGGATGTGCGTGTGCCAGGCTGCTGGATGCGTATAATTTAAGCGGCAGGTCTCAGTGCTAATTTAAGAGTTCCCAACCCATGATTACAGCATTGAACCGAACCGAGCCGCTCCCACTGCACCACAGCAGCTCAGTTTCTCATTACAACACACACACACACACACTCACACACACACACGTACGTTTGTTTCTGTCAATTGTGGGGACTTTCCATAGACTTCTATTACTTTTATACTGACCAAACGATATTTTCCATCCCCTAACCCTAAACCTACCCCTTACAGAAAACCTTTTGCATTCTTACACTTTCAGATAAACATCATTTACTATTTTTAATAATGTTTTTCCCTCGTGGGGACCACATGCCGGTCTCCATAATGTCAAAAATTTCAGGTTTTACTGTCCTTGTGGAGACATTTGGTCACTCACACACACACACAGACACACACACACACTCACTCACACACACACACACACACACACACACACACTCACACTCACTCTCTCACACACACGCACACTCACACACACGCACAAACACACACACACACA